TAATCAACACTGTTCGGCGTGTGGCTTGAGTCCTCTTTGGCAGTTTGTTGATCACTGAAGCAGAGGAGTAAGTCTGTTTTCAGACCTTTGAAGGCCATTGTCTTTAGGGCATTTGGGCTCTCCAACTCGAGTTCAACTCCCATATTTTAAGTAGAATTTTCCCTTTATAAAGACTGCAAACTTTTTTTTAAATTGGCTTTTCAAAATGATTTGACTATGAGTAACTCTTTTAATTTAGAATTGTCTGTGAGTTCTTGGCAACCTCAGTACGTATTTAACAAGTCTTTGCAGAGTGAGAAAGCTCTGACTTACAAACTGTTTTCCAAATGTAATGGAATTGTTAGGAGTCTCACATATAATTAATGAGCCTTGCATGATGTTCTTTCTTAAGCATTTGTCTGTGAGTTGATTAATTTCTACTTTGCACTTATGCTTAATATTCTGCAGCTCAAAGTTTTCTTTTTTCTTTTTTCTATTTTTTATTCAGCTTTCAAACTTTTGCACAGGCCCTGGGCACTCTGCCCATAATGCCTGATGAATAAAACATCCCTGCACACAAAACCCAGCGTGAAGGCCAGGGAAACGAAGCAAAGGTGTCAGTGGGTGAGGTTCCCAGATAACTTTGATTCTTCCCCATCCTTTCCAGAATTGTTATGAAACCAGGGAGAGGCCTGCACACTCAAAGGCTTAGTACATTTGATGGGACAAAAGTATGGACATACTCAGCATATGCTGAGACACACACAGGTCCATACACTTAACATGAACTTGGAAAACCAGGTGTGGGCTCAGACACCTGTTATCCCAGCCCTGGGGAGGATCAGAAGAAGTTCCAGGTCATCCTCAGCTACTTAGGGAGTTTGAGGCCAGCCAGTGGTCACTTGAGACTTTGTCTGAAGAAACAAAACCCAAACAAAAGGCTGAGAAAGAAGAAAGGAAAGAAAGGGAAGGGAGGGGACTCATCTCGAAGTTTCCGCAATGGGAAGCACCACGCGTGCCCGAGCTTTCTACGTACTATTCCGTGGGTGCAGGAGGGCAAGGGTGGAGGCTGGAATTTCCAAAAGCAAGGCAAGGTAGAAGGCAGAATTCACAGTGTGATTTATTTACTTATTTAGTGATTCATTAGGACGTAGCGGTGGCTGAAACTTCTGAAGGCCACGCCGAAACAATATAGGAGGGTTCCGAACTACGGAAAGTCCCCATCACAGTCAGACTGGAACCCATCCAGGCCCGCCATTGTTGCTCTTTTCTGTTTCTGTAAGTGCGGCCCTGGGCCAACTCTGGCTAGACTATGCAAAGAGTTTGAAAAAAATGTAGGTGCCTGAGTCTCCTCTCCTTGACCCCCTGAAGGAAAGGCTGTGAGGTGGGCCTGGGAATCCGCATCTGACTTAATGTCCTTCGCTCTTGGTGTGACACTATCTTGCTCATTAAAGTCTTCAAGCTCAGAACAAGTTTCCACTGTTTCCTCATTTTTCTTAAACAGCTTTTAAAGAGGGTAGCTAGAACTCCTGGGGACAGCTAGATCTTAGTTTACCGACACTTACAGACAGGAAGTTAGAAGTTGAAATGAGTGAGTTATTTAGCAAGGCCAGGAACACTTCTAAAATGAGAAACAATACCTAACAACAAAACTCACATTTGCTCTTCCAAGTCTGACAAGTCGTTAGGATTCCTGTGCACTGGGAGCTACTACAGCAAGATGGCAGTTACCATTGCCTGGAAGCTGCAGTTACCTGAGAGGCGATCATTGCCCTCTCCACCAAAAACGACGATTTAACAAGGAAGAAAGGAAGGGTAAGGAAGGTAGACATGGAGGGGGGGGGATGGGGAGGAAGAGAGAAGGAGAGTGGGAAAGGAAGGGAAGAGGAAGGCAAGTCAATAAGACAGAGAGGAGAGTGTGGGAATGGGAGAGCAGGATGAAAGGAAGGACAGATGGGGAGGAGGAAAGGAGAGGAAGGGATGGAAGGAGACGGCAAGGAGGAGGAAGAAAAGCATCAAATGAGGGATGGAAAGAAAAGGAAAGAAGAGGCAAAATTACTCCTTTGTGTGTGCTGGACAAAGGTTCAGGGGAACAGAAGCAGGGAACCTGTAATCTCAAAAACACTCTTACAGGGTATGTTGCAGAGGACCCTGGTACATGGCAGGGAAGGGCTGGGGTCACCTTCCCTGTCGTTTCCATCCTTAGGCCATACCAGTCAGACCCTACCCTGAGCAAGCTCAGGTGCCCGAGTGCCTTGCTTAGACTACACTGCATCAGGGCTGGCAGGGGTTCTTAGAGGCCGGCTCAGTGCTGCCCCTTGCTAAACACCTGAGGCTCTTGGGTGTGGAAGTCACAAAAACAAAACAATACGTGGAGTGACCTGAGCCACCGGAGGGCATCAGTCCCTGACATCAATCGAGAGCAGGAGAGAGCCAAGGAGAAGGGCACCATTAGCTACAACACAAGCAATGGGAAGCAGTCTAAAGCGTCAGGCTTCCCAAACATGGAACTGAAAAGGTTGAGACTGAGAAGGAAAACATCTCATCTTCCTGCCAAAATAAACTATGATGAAAGTTTGGTCCCTCTACCTTTCAGCCAAGCATTTCCTGTTCTGGCCTCCTCTGTCTGCCTCGAACCAGCTCAGAAGAGGGAGGGCTATTTTTAAGGTGCAAGCAACCAAGACTAAGAATGAGAGAGTTACTTATTTATAGTTACACCTTTCAACTGTTCTTTTCCCCTCTGGGGACGGAGGCCAGGCTTGGCTCTCCCTTTGGAACTGAAATCACTGGGGCGAGAAGGGCTTTGGAAGGTCACGTGGCACTGTCCGTGGCCTCTAGCCAGGATCCCTGTCCTGGGGAATGAATGTAAGTAGGGAAGCTGTTCACTACTTTGTAGAGAATTCCTCCTCTTAGAGGAAATTCACGTCATGTGCCCTGGACATGTGTTTTGTTAAAACACACATTTTGTATGATAGGTGATTAGGAAATGAATTCACTGTTGAGGAATCCAAAAGTAAATCTTTCTTCCCCTGGTGAAAGAAAGGAAGAAAGAAAGAAAGAAAGAAAGAAAGAAAGAAAGAAAGAAAGAAAGAAAGAAAGAAAGAAAGAAAGAAAGAAAGAGGGAGGGAGGGAGGGAGGGAGGGAGGGAGGGAGGGAGGGAGGAAGGAAGGAAGGAAGGCAGGCAAGCAGTCCTAGGGTCTAGAGAGATGGCTCATCAGTTAAGAGTACTTGCTCTCACAGAGGACTGAAGGTTTTGTACTCAGTACCTACATGGTGGCTTACAACTGTTCTTAACTCCAGTTCCAGGGAATCCAACTCTCTCTTCTGGCTTCTTTCCTTGGGTACCAGGCATGCATGTGGTGCACATACATATATACAGGCAATAAACTCATCCTTACTTAGAAAAAAGATGCTGGTATCACGTAAGCTAATATTATCTAACTTACATAGGTTTGCAAATCCATCTATATTTTGTGTCCATAGAGTCACAAGTTCTTTCTGGTACCTAACTTCATCCATCCTCCTGTAATCTGGAGATTTTTTTCTTATCGTATGAAATTACTCTATTCTTATTATCGAACCTTGAAGGAGCCACTGGAATCTTCTGACAAATGGAAGAGGAAATCCTTCTCATTTAATGGGCACAAAAACATCATTGTAGATTTATTTGGCTGTTGCCCTATACGTCATGTCAGTATTTTCTTCCCAGTACATATACCCGGTCTGACCATGTATTTTATTGTTGCCCTCATTGCATTGTAAGCATTGTTTAGTCTTTAATTTATCACTGTATGACAGGGATCAAAAACACACGAGATGTTCGATATTCATCATTTAGTGAATGCGTTTCTGGTCATCTAAGATTGTTCTGGGTTGAGGCTCTAACATATGGTGCTCCCTAGGCACATGGTTTGGGGATCGTCTGAATATCCCCTCAAGAATCTGTTCTTACTAAAGGCTTGGTCTGCAGGGTGGGAGACAGTTGCACCTCTGAGAGATGGGTGCTGATGGGAGTTCTGAAGTCACTGGGGCAGTGCCCCAAGGAAAGATGTGATGACAACTGGCCTTTGCCACAACTGAGCTACTCCCAGTGGAAGGCTCCAGAACCACCAAAACTCTGAGATTAATAAATAAATGTTCTCTTTCTATGGAGGTAGCTGTCTCAAGGATTTAGTTATAGTGATGAAAACCTGATGAATACATCACATGTTTCCTGTATTTTTTTTTTTTTTTGAAACTTGACATTTTCCTAAATATCCCAGTTCTGCTGTGTTCAGCTTCTACTTGGACATTTTTATAAGGACTATTTCACAGAAGCAAGGATTAATTCTAAACCCATTAATTTCTAGGTATTTTCAGTAAGTCAATCTTTAAGCCCAACACTCTAAGGAATGACTTAGTAGAGAGGATATACTTTTGGCCTTTTTACTCCCTCTACTTTCGTTTCCTTCTTTGTCTAGCTAGACTAATTCATGATTTAGCTCTTGGCCCATGGAGAGGGCTCCATACTAAGCCAGTGCTCTTGAGCAGCAACTGGGGCTACCCTAGTCAAGGAAGAGGTAGGTAAGACTACAAATCATTTACACACAGAATCCAGGTCTAGCAGACTCATCACACATTGGAAGAGATGCAATTGTATGCTCAAGTCTGACCCAGGGTGAAATACCATTTATTCACCCATTTATTCATGTCAGTCTATAGTAGTGGGCACATGGTAGTTCAAGAAAGTTTTGTTGTTGGATGTGACATCACTTGTCTGTAATGCAGGTGCTCAGGAGTCTGAAGCAAGAGGATCTCAAGGTCAAAAACAGCCTAGGATGTACATAGTGAAATTCTGCCTCAAAAAAAAAAAAAATGCTGTTGACTGATTAATGAAAGTCTGATGCAATAATGATGTCTGAGGTAAGACATCAGTATGTTTGCTTTTGGGCATTTTCTAGTTATTATTTGGGCTTGCCTCTATTATTCTAAATACAACGAATGGCATAAAAGAAGGAACGAAATTCTAGCTAATCACTTACCTTTTGGCCTAGATGGGGTCCATTAGTGACTCCAACGTTTCTCTGAACTGATGGTGGCACTTGATAGACATCTTGTTCTGGGGTACCATGGCCGGTGGGTACTTGGTAAATTCCCTGATTCTGGTAGGAGGGTGGCACCTGGTAGATGGTATCACGAGATGCTGCCTGCGAATTTGGCACTTGATAGAGTTTCTGTTGGCCAAAGGTCTGATGCATGGGACCAGGAGTGGGTTGTTCATGGCTGGAGGTCTCTTGCACTGGACCAATCAGAAGTTTCACCCGGTTGCCTGGGACGATGCCCTGGCGACCATGTAGGGAACACAGCCACCATCCCTCTAGTCCTCCTGTGTTCTGCTCTATGACAGTCAAGATGTCTCCCTTGCGAAAGGCCAGCTCCTCAGCACATTCAGGAACATTGTCATATAAGGCCCTGGCCATAAGATTCTAGGAAGGGGAGAAGAGAAGAAACAGAGTTAGAACTTTAAGTCTGCCTCTTTTGCACTTACATGGCTCATGCTTTCAGGGACAGGCACAGTTCCTGAAAAAAGACAAGAGATATGAACAATAGCCTATAAGAAGGAGCGCAGATGGTTCAGACAAAAGGCAGACATGGCCACCCTGTGTCTGCCACCAGTGACATCAGATGGACACTTCAGAAAAGCGCAAAACCCCAGAAGAGATCTTCCCTCCAGTGGTGGGTGCTTTGGCAAGGAACTGGGCTAGCATTGCTAATGAGTTAGGAAGGGGTCACCAGGCAAAGCATTTTTCTAACTTTGCAAAGTGAGCTGAAGGGGAAGAATGTTCCAAGGTGTTCATGCATCACTGTAAACAACTGTTCTCACAACTGTTTTCATATAGTCTAGGTAAATAAATAAATTAAAACATAAAAAATCAGTCAAAGAAAATTCTAAGTGACACATACTACAAACAGAAATTTTATTCAGCATTGAAATGTAAATAGAAGTACACATAATTGTGCCTTGGCAAAGCTCACCATATCTTCTATGATTAAGGAGGCCCTTGGATGCAGGAAGAATCTATGAGTGAAAGCACAGGGACATACTATGGTAATCAAGCAGGGATGCGGGGTGAGAGCAGTCTGTCTCGCCAGATCTGACTATGCAGAGGCACCGAGAATGCGTTCATAGATAGGTCTGGTCTCTCCCAGGCTTCTCCGAGGGCCCTTCCTTTCCCTGCCACGTAGTCACCTACTTCTTAAATCTCACCATTCTCATCTGAAAGGCTGTGCCTTCCTTTCATGGGCTCAGAACACTCTCCGTCTTTGTAAGCAGGCCTGTCTGGCACATTCAGTCCTCAGCAGACAGCTAAAGTGGGCATTGAGCAGAGAGTGGGCAGGCAGTCTGTGCTGACATTCCTGGAAGGCTTTCAAAGGCTCTGAACATTCCCAGCACACTGGCAGCCAGTCCGCATGCCTGCCCCTTCCCAGAGTGCAGAGAAGTGGGGGAGCACAGGGAAGCCATCGCAGGCATCAGAGAAACTAGATGTGACCCCTGCTATATGTCACTTAAGTGTCTGGGTGCACTCAGTGCCTCTGTGGTGGGGGATCATTCAGGAGCAAAGGACTTCTTATGGGCTGAAGCATGCTTGTGACTTTATTTCACACCATAACATATTTGCAGACGTTGGGGCTGCTTTTCTTTGGACTCTTGCCCCTGTTTTCCTCTCCAGAAATGTGGACTTGATCTTTCAGTCTCATGCTTTTCATTTCTTTAAGACGGACATGTATTAATCATCTCCCCGGGGCTCTGCCTGAAACCACAGCACTAGCATTGTGTGTCACTCTCTTCAGCGGGGCGGCTGTGGATGGGAGGGCTCTGCCTCTGGTCAGGAGTCTGGAAGAAGTCCAGTTCCGCTACTCTTCATTTTTGAAGTGATATAAAATTTATTTTGTTTTCATTACATTTTAAATTATTATTTTTTATTTTTTTCATGCAATACATTTTGATCATATTTTTGCCATCCCCTAAGTTTTCTCAGATCCTTCCCATATCCTTACTCAATTAACTTCATATTCTCTCTCTAAAAGCAAATAAAAAAACAAACAAAAGGACAAAACCCACTAAACCATAACAGCAGTAACAAAAAAACATGTACACACACACACACACACACACACACACACACACACACACAACTCAAAACAAAACAAAAACCAAATGGAGTATGTTTTCATTTTATCTTGGCTCCTGAGTCTTCTTTTTCTTTAAACATATATACTTTAAATGTGTGTGTATTTGTTATACTGCCCAGACAGGCTGGACTTTAGAAATTCTCCTGCCTCAGCCTCTTAAGTGTTGAGACTGCAGGTACATAGCTCTAGAGATAACTAGCCAGTCTTCTTTTATTGTGAATACATAATTAAAGGAAGAGAGATAGAGACACAAATATCCGCCCTCAGGGAAGTTAGGATAGAGCTGAAATCACTAAGAGATAAGAGTTGTTTGACTGAGGGCAGGTAGAAGGGAACTGGGGGCTTTCGTTTCAGGCGAAGGTTACTTAGCAGCTGTATTCTAGGAAGCACTGGGTTCCTTCTAACAATGTAAAACTCACCTATAAAATGATAAAATCAGGCCACACCCTTGCTTAGTTTTCAGGGCCATTAAAGAATGTGCCAGGATGCTAAGCTCTGTTTCTCTTTTTCCATCTTTTGTGTTTTATCACCATAAAAAAAGGGGCTATAGGTTTACTGAGGACAAGATTCTGGTCCTTTGCACCAAATGATTTCAGGGAAAGGACTCCACCAGGATTATGACTTCAGAGCTCTGAAAGAGCAGCTGCCTCTCGTCTGTCCTGTTCTCCTGGGCCCCTTCAAAAGGAAGGGTTTCGAAGGAAGTGCCTAGATGAAATCAGAAGTGATAGAGTTGGGGCAGCCCCCTCGGGAGCTGAAGATTGATAGCTGTGTGCAATCATATTGGCTTCAAAGAGGAAAAAGAAGAGCAAGAGAAAACAGTAGACAGGCAAAGGGCTGCAGCTCAATCAACCACAATCAGCTGGAGGCATTCGCAGTTGGGCCATTTCCAAGCCCTGGAGCTCTGCGAGGTGCTGAGTGGAGCGCCGGGCCACACTTGAGTAGAGGCAGATAGAAATCCCCGTGCGAGTCTGCTGGGTATGCTTCATGATCCTTCCCGGTGACCTTCCCACCACCTGGCAAGCAGCACGCTCATGCCTGCACACGAGCCTAAGGGATGTGCCTAGGGCCACTCCAGAGCCTCCTCAGCCATGTGGAAATGGACACTGCTGGTGAATTCTCCTGTCCCATGGCCCACAACATCCGCCCAGTCTTCTCACTGCATATGGAGAATGGGATTTAGAAAGAACTTGACCCAGATGTTGGCGGGCAAGGACCTCTCACTGGCCCCCAACCCCAGGCTGATACCCATTCATACCTGGTAGATATCAACCCTGACTAAAGACAGCTGTTGTAGATAGTCACTCTCCTAAATGGCTCATTATAGCCACACAACTCCGGAGAGAGCCGTGAGCTTGTGAACCTGTAGCTCCGTTTTGAAGATGAGGTCAACTCATCATTTCCCCGAGGGCCCCACTTGGTTATCAGAGCTGGATGTAGAACCTGAGTTTCTTGGCTTGACTCCCTCTCTGGGATGCTACCTTAGCCTGCCCATCAATGCCCAGGCTGGGCTCCCTTCCATTATACAAGAAAGTTCTGTAGGTGACCTTTTCTTCACCCCGTTTTTATGGAAAAAAACATACTCTTTGGGGTCTGCAGTTCCAACTATGTTACTTGGGCTTTTCCCTTGCACACCCTATCCTCCTCATCCCTAGGGTAAGACCAAGGCTGTGGCTGGGTACAAAGCCTTGTGGGTTTTCTGCAGGAATGAAATAAGTGAATTTTGAGTAAATGTTTCCGAACTGCTGGACACTCAGCAAGCCATTATGGGCTTTTAATTTCATTTGCTGGGTGGCACTTGACTTCCGGCTTCCTACTGACCTCCTCCTTCTTGATTTTCAATCAAGAAATAATCCCAGGGCTGGTGAAATGGTGTAGTGGCAAAGAGCACTCACTCCTCTTCCAGAACACCTGGGTTTGATTCCCAGTTCCCACAGGGCAGCTCACAACCATCTGTAAAACTCCAGTTTCAGGGGATACAGTGCCGTCTTCTGGCATCTGATGGTACTAGGCATGCAAGCAGTGCACAAACACACATGTAGACAAAACGCCCATTACACATGGAAAACAAAAGGACATTTAGAAAGTCTTGGGTAAGAGGCAGGGCTTCTGGTGTTTACTTGGTGAGAGGGCAATAGTCCAGTAAAAAGATAAAAGCCAAGAACATAGGGCCCCAGCTCCAAAGAACACTCACTCATAAGATGGCCAAGCAACAGTTAATTCCTACTGCAAAAGTGTGTGTCAGGAGGGGGATTCTCTCCTTCATAGAAAAGGTGTGATTCCCCCAGGCCCCAAAGTCAGAAGCTCTTATCTGAACATCTTAAGAAAACACCAGAGAGGCCAGAACCTGTCTATTCAAGATCTACTCTTTCTCAACCCCTAGCCCCTTGGATATTTATCTGTGGGGGAGGGAAGGTCAACACAGAAACAAATCAAGGAGAGATAAGAGAGCTGGGCAATTCTATACCCAGCTGGATGCCAAGCATCCACAGACTGGCAGTTATAAAAGCTGTAAGAGTGCTGTTGGGGCAGGGTGCAGAACTTGAAAGCCAGAAAGATCTTCAAGGAGTTAAGAGTCCAACTCTTCCACTTGACAACTAAGAAAAAGGAGGTTTGAAAAGTTAATGATTTTCAAAGTCACCTGGAGAGAAGACCTTAGGACTTGGGTAAGAAGCCAGGGCTCATGTTTCCAGGCTCCCGGGAGGAGGAAAGATATTCTAGGGCCACACTGTGCCCTTCCTTTTGGCTACCAGACTATTGAGATAGCGGACCCTAAGAAGCTGGAATTTCCCCAGGAATCTCATGCTGGGGAAAGGGAAAGGCTAATACCTACCAGTCAGAAAAGGAACTTGTCTCCCCCCCCCAATAGAGATTTCACAGAGTTCTGCCAGGGTGTCAAACCATCTTGCAGGAGCCCCTGGAGGTAGACCATGATGGAGCAGGACCACAATTTGACCAAGGGTAGCTAGTTCTGTATACCTCTTGCCCTCTGTAGGAGTGTAAATCCCATGCCAGTGCTCTTGAAGATGAGCTGGACACTCACTGGACCCTCTTATTTGTTCTTTTCTCCAATGTGGCCATGTTGAATAAATCTCCTTTCTCCTTTATCTACTCTTCACTGTTCTGCCTGACTCCTGTTTTATTTCCAGAACGTAAGCCCAATGTCTGAAATAAAACCCACACCCAATCTCTACTCAATTGAAGGGGCGTCTGACCTCTGTATCCCTGGTTCTCTCCCTTGAGAGTGGAATTGTTTTTCTTGAGAATTTAGCTGTTACTTAGGTCTTTAATTGGT